GAATTGCCATAACCATTGGAATCATTATCTCCAAGCGGGGCGGGGACTATTTCAAACGATACAGTCTATTGTCATTGGTCAACTGTGTGTATTGTCCTGGTATCCCATCAGGTCCAGAGGGGGCTGTCCCTGGACCTGGGATTTTGCATAAATAATGCTGTCACTGTGCCATTAAAGCCAGTTCCTGTTTGACCCTCAAATCGCAGCCTCAACTTGTTTTGTGGGAATCAGGGTATCCTAGCTAGACTAGAGCTAGTAGGATTGCTTTATATTCACAGGACTCTGGTGGTCTGCTGAACGGAACAGCGCTCCTCACTCTCCACATTCGGAAACCAGGACATCCAAGCGGTCCAGCCTTCAGCTAGCTTGGAGGTAACCGTAACAATTGGTGGTAGCAGCGGGATCTTCCTGAAGTTCCTAGGAGAGATAGAGAACGGATGGAGAGCGCTTTTGACAAACTAAAACGCACCACGTTAAAGGATCTACTAGAAAGCCGAGGTGGGAACGCTAGCAACCTACCTAGGAGGGAACTGATTGCAGAGCTGACAGAACTGGATCAAAGCCTGACCATGACGGAGACCCCGATGTCCGCTAGCAAGGAAAAGAACCGGATTGTTCGGGAGAGGCTCTCCTGGTTCGGCCCGAACCCGACCGTAGAGCTGATACAGGAAACCATGGCACAGGTCGATGTAGAGATCCGAGAGGCAAGAGCACACAAGATGAACTTAAACCCACCCCAGCAAAACCCCGCTGCAGGGATGGTAGTGAACCCGGCAGAAAGGGCTGGGAAGCCAAAGATTCCCCATGCAGCGTTCCAATCATTCCTAGAGAATGAGATGGGGATCGATGAATACCTGGCCGACTTTGAGAGGCAATGTGCGCTTCATCGGATACCCAGCGAGGATTGGCCCACTATCCTGTCGGCGAAGCTATCAGGCCGAGCCCTAGATGCATTTTGGACACTGTCTACCGAGGAAGTGACACATCATGACTGGGTTAAAGATACATTATTACAAAGGTATGCAGTAACCCCAGATACGTATCGTAGACAATTCAGGAGCACGAAAAAGAAGCCAAACGATACACATACCGAGTGGGCTTATCGGATGAGGAGAGCAACCGATCACTGGATAAAAAGGTGCCGAGCCGTAATGGGTGAGGAAGTATTACAATTATTTCTTTTAGAGCATTTCTACAATGGGGTAGATCAACAATGCAAAGAATGGCTCCGGGATCATAGACCCACTACCCTCACGGAGGCAGCTACGCTAGCTGACGAACATTGTGACTCACGACTGCACGAAAGTAACAATTACCGGCCAACGATTCGTACGGAAAACCGAGAAACCTACCGAGCGCCGGCACGACCGGACTTCAGGGCTCCCGTACCCGCAGGACCTACTAGGCATCTAGGACCACCGGGTGGCCATACTACCGAACGCCCACGACCAACCTGTTACCGGTGCAAACAACCTCATGGCATCTCATGGCAAGTTGCCTCCTCAACAACCACCATCAAAACCCCAGGACTTATAATAATTCCACGGGATCGTCCCGGCTCACCAGGGCTCTATGTGTTAACCAGGAGGGTCCCATGGAAGAATACCTGGGACCTCTCCATGAGGCTGACCCCATATATGCTGCCTCCGACAACCGCCAACATCACAGGCAAAAGGTATGGCTCGAGGGTCACTCCACTGAGGGACTGAGAGACACTGGAGCTACCATAACTTTAGTTCAGAGCCACTTGGTACCAGAGCACAAGCGCTCCGGACACACCGCGGCCGTTCGAGTGGCTGGGGGAGACGTATACAAAATCCCGATCACCAAGGTCCATTTGAATTGGGGGGCGGGAAAAGGCACTATGAACGTCGGGATTATGGATAATTTACCAGTAGAGGTATTATTGGGCAATGATCTGGGACCAATGACGTCGGCTTACGCACCAGCCTATAACTCCGAGGCTCACCCGGTGACTACCTGAGCACAAGCCAGGAATCAGCCTGATCTTTCATCAGTGTGGGAACCACAGGTAAGACTCACTCCGACCCTGACTGCCCCGTCAGACCCCATATCCTGGGATACTCCCGCCACCTTTGAACACGAATCCAAATCTGACCTGACCTTGCAAAAGTATAGGGAAAAAGCCGACTCTGGAGGGGGGGGGCTAGATAACGAGACATTTAGATGGGAGAAAGGGAAACTGTACCGGTTAACCGAAAAGAAGGGACAACATAGACGACAATTGGTAGTCCCATACAAATATCATCAGGAGATACTCAGGATAGGACATGATATTCCCTTAGCAGGACACCTGGCCGTAACACGCACCCTTCGCCGTATTACCAATACCTTCTTCTGGCCTGGGGTTCACGTAGATGTGCAGACCCATTGCAGCACATGTGATGTGTGCCAACGCATAGGAAGGAGGGGAGACCATCCTAAGGCACACTTAATGAATATGCCCATTATAGAAGAGCCATTCAGCCGGGTTGCTATTGATTTAGTGGGGCCACTGGATACCCCTAGTCCCTCAGTAAACGTTATATTCTGACCGTAGTGGACTACGCTACCAGGTATCCTGAAGCGGTGGCTCTACCTCACATTCAGGCAGACACTGTAGCTAACGCGTTAGTGCAGGTCTTCTCTCGGGTGGGGTTTCCCAAGGAAATCCTATCCGACAGAGGCACTCAGTTTACTGCCGAATTAACCCAGCAGCTCTGGCATGCGTGTAAGGTTAAATCGCTTCTCAGCACCCCCTATCATCCCCAGACGAACGGTCTCTGTGAGAGGTTCAACGGGACCCTTAAACAGATGCTAAGAACCTTCGCTCAGGAGTATAGGGATTGGGAACGTTTCCTACCGCACCTCCTGTTCGCATACAGGGAAGTGCCCCAGGAAATGACAGGGTTCTCTCCATTCGAGCTGCTATACGGACGCCAGGTAAGGGGACCCCTAAACCTGATCCGAGAGCACTGGGAGGGGGAGACCGAAAATGCCGGGGTCCCCATCGTACCATACGTGCTGGAGCTAAGAGACCGAATGGAGCAATTAGCCAGGTCGGTCCAGGCTAATCTCCAGTCGGCTCAGCGGAGAAAGAAAGTATGGTATGACCAGGGCGCCCGAACCAGGAGCTTCACCATAGGACAGAAGGTGCTGGTACTTAAACCCGTCAAGGCAGACAAACTACAAGCTGCCTGGCAAGGGCCGTACCAGATAATAGAAAAGAAGGGGGACACTACCTATATCATAGCTAGTTGCCATGATGAAAACTTGAGAAAGACGTTTCACATAAATATGCTCAAGGAGTATCTAGAGAAGCCAGAGAATGTGACAGCGATCTGCATTCCCCCTCACGAGGACCCAGACAACCTTCCTATCCCAGACTTGCTAGAAAGGAATCCCCACTCAAACTTAGTGGCACAGGTCCAGATCGGAGACCAACTTAATGATGAGGAGAGGGAACAATTGAGCCAATTACTCCACGTTAAAAGCACTACATTCTCCCAAGAACCCGGGTACACTCACCTAACCACCCATCAGGTAGATACCCCAGGGCAGCAACCCCTAAGACAGACCCCCTACCGAATTCCTGAAGCCGTATGGGCTGGAATGAAAACCGAGATTGAGGAAATGCTTAGGTTAGGGGTGATTGAGCCCTCTGACAGTCCCTGGGCATCTCCAGTGGTTCTAGTCCCTAAGAAAGATGGAACCACACGATTTTGTGTGGATTATCGGAGGCTCAATGATAAAACGGTAACGGACGCCTATCCGATGCCCAGAGTTGACGAGCTACTTGATCGTATAGCCAGGGGAAAGTATCTAACAACCATTGACCTCTGTAAAGGTTATTGGCAAATTCCCCTGGCTCAGGAAGCTATCCCTAAGTCGGTATTCGTCACCCCGTTTGGTTTGTACCACTTTAAGGTAATGCCGTTCGGGATGAAGAATGCCCCCGCTACATTCCAGCGCTTAGTGGATAGACTCCTGAATGGCTTCCAGGAGTTTTCCTGCGCATACTTGGACGACATAGGATTCCACAGTGAGTCCTGGGAGGAACACTTAGTTCATGTTGGAATGGTCCTGGATCAGATCCGGGCCGCTGGCCTGACTCTGAAGCCAGAGAACTGCCATTTTGGAATGGCTGAGGTGCAGTACCTGGGGCACCGTGTGGGATGTGGGAAACAGCGACCAGAGCCGGCTAAAACAGAAGCCAACTGGCCCACCTCCCACCACCAAGACTCAGGTACTAGCCTTTCTGGGCACTGAAGGATACTACAGATGCTTCGTGCCAGACTACAGTACCATAGCTAAGCCCCTGACGGACCTGACTAAGAAAAACCTACCCAGACAGGTCCTGTGGTCTCCCCACTGTGAAACAATGGCTGGGTGAGGCCGGTATAAATGTCTATTCTGCACAAGGTACAGACAAGTCTGGTGGGATTCATGCCTGGTTCGTTTTTATAAACGTGAGGTTGTCCACGTTGGCTGTGGACAGGCGGCTGCGCTTGTTTGTGATAACGCCCCCCCGCTGTGCTAAACACAGATTCAGACAATACACTGGCTGCAGGGCAGGCCAGCACCTTCAAGGCATAAAGGGCAAGCTCAGGCCATGTGCCCAATTTGTAGACCCAGAAGTTGAATGGGGCAGACCCATCACTCAGTACGTTTAGGCGTACATGTACTGTTCCACCATGTTGGTGAAATGCTGCCTCCTGCTAAGACGTTCCATATCAGCTGGTGGTGCTGGTTGTTGTGGCGTGCTGACAAAGCTTTTCCACATTTCGGCCATGCTAACCCTGCCTTGTGAGGTGCTTGCAGTGCCCCAGCTGCGTTGGCGCCCTCTTCCTCCTCCTCTGCCTTCACCTTGTGCTTCCACTGAGCCCCTGGTGTCAGTTGGGAATGCTCTCAGCAGCGTGTCTACCAGCGTGAGCTTGTAGACGCACATCTTTCGATCACGTTCCAGTGAGGGAATTAAGGACAGCACGTTGTCCTCATAACGGGGATCCAGCAGGGTGGCCACCAAGTTAGAATGTGGGCAACTCAGCAGTCGTTGCGCAGGCACTTTGGTGACTCTAGATAACCTTGGGCCGATTGCACTTCCCCGTGACGTCGACGACGCATTCGGATGTCTGCCCTATCAACTTTCGATGTTACTTTCTGCGCCTACCATGGTGACCACGGGTAACGGGGAATCAGGGTTCGATTCCGGAGAGGGAGCCTGAGAAACGGCTACCACATCCAAGGAAGACAGCAGGCGCGCAAATTACCCACTCCCGATGCGGGGAGGTAATGACGATAAATAACAATACAGGACTCTTTCGAGGCCCTGTAATTGGAATGAGTACACTTTAAATCCTTTAACGAGGATCTATTGGAGAGCAAGTCTGGTGCAGAGCGACTGACCCGTGCGTGCTGCAGCTGAAACTCCACTATCGCCTGCTGCTGCTCGCACAGTCTCTCCAGCATGTGCAAGGTGGAGTTCCACCTTGTGGTCACGTTGCATATGAGGCGGTGAGCGGGTAGGCCGAAGTTACGCTGCAGCACAGACAGGCGAGCAGCAACAGGGTGAGAACGCTAAAAGCGCACACAGCCGCTACAGTGAAACTGCGAATGGCTCATTAAATCAGTTATGCTTCCTTTGACCGCACCATCTGTTACTTGGATAACTGTGGTAATTCTAGAGCTAATACATGCTGACCAGCGCTAGGGGACGGCCGCTCCGCTTTTGCACCCATTTTATCTTCTGTGGGTTATTGCATTTTTAAGATGTAAACTTATTGTGTCACACTACCCATGTACAGGTAGATTGTCTGGCACATTGTTTTGGTGTTTGGTTTTTAACTTTGTAGTTGTGTCTTTACACAATATAGAAATTTATATTAATGCTTCTGTATATGAAGCGATCACAATAAAATGTATTTTTCACTTTTTAAAAAAAAAATCAGGCTAAACAAAAATTGGTAATTAACAATATGACATCTGAAAAGGATGAAAGGATGCTGTATGATTTAAAAAAAAAAAAAAAAGAACACACTTAATGAAGGTCCTGTTCACTAGAGTGTGTAGTCATGAATGTAACCAGTAAAACTTTGTTTTTACAGACACTGGTTGGCCCATACATATTTTAAAACTTGTTTAATTTTGTAATAGCATGACTTGTAGTCTTGTTTTTAACTTGTTTATAATACATATTTTTGTATGACACTTAGTGTGTTTTTTCATTGATTAGTGAATTTTAATGGTCTAAGATAATTAACATGTCAACAGGCAAACATAACCCGAATGGTTTGTCTCAGTCTTGCCATCTATACTACCTGCACCATAGGCAACATTTATTTGTCTTTAGACTTTCTTGAGAAGCGGTAACTAGCCAGTGTTGCACACATACACCAGATATAAAGTGCACACCCCAAATGTAGTATTTAGCACCAAAACAAATAGAATTTTTAAAACTGCGATGTAACCACAGTATTTGACGGTTCTAGTTGACTCTCAGATATGAAGTGTATACCCCAAATGTACTATTTAGCACAAAAAAGAAATTGAATTTTTATAACTGCGCTGTAACCACAGTATTTGACAGTTCTATTTGACTCTCAGATATGAAGTGCACCGCAAGCCGCAAATGTTGTCGAGTGTCTGTTCTGTGTCTTTTTATTGCAGTATTTTTTAAAGACTCGACTCTACACCTAAATGCAGATAGATTGACAGTAGATAGACATGCAAACATTGGCAGTGATAATGGACTTTCTAAGCGCTGTAGAATATCCGCTATTGTGAGGTGAAAAAAGTATAAAGGAAACACAGACAACCTTACAGCAATCTTATTTTTATAAGGTATAATTTTCCCTAGAGGACTACAATAGTATTCTTCCTCTCTGGACAAAGTATGTTCTTTTAATCTGCACTTTTATACAACTTTAAAGGGACTTCATAGACATACCGCTACAGATGTGTTAACGTTTTCACCCACCTGGACTGTTTGTCTTGCAGCTTTTTCTATTTTGCAGCTTAGCAATATTGTAATTGTTCTTACTCTGCAATAGTCAGCATAAATGCATAATGTGTGTAATGTATCCAATATGTCTCACTCCATTTGCTTATCCATACCTGGGGTATAAAGGGACACTCTAAGGCAGGGGTGCCCAAAAGATAGATCCCCAGATGTTTTAATTCTGCAGCTTCCATGATGCTTTTTAATTCTAAAGGCATGCAGGGCATCATGGGAGTTGTAGTTTTACAACATCTAGGGCAAGGGTAGGCAACCTTCGGCACTGCAGATGTTGTGGACTTCATCCCCCACAATGATCAAAGGTCCACTTGAGAAAGCCCTAAGGGGAGAAACGTGTTGTGGAAATTTTAACTAACTGTATTTTAATAAAGGTATTTTGGCCACTTTCTTTGTTGTGAGTTAGCCATTTTTTAAAAATTATTTTACTATCTAAAATTACTATTATCTGGCACCTGAGTTTTACTTGTTCCAGAGAGATACTACTCCAAAGCATCCTTGGTGGGGAATATACCACTTACTGTTGAAATCCTATTTACAATATGTGGAGAATAAAAAAGGTTCACTCACACTTTCCAGAGCCACATAAGTTAGGCTCTGGACTGTAAAGGTATTTCATCCACCAAGGGATACACTGGATCGGATCCACCTCTTAGATGTTTGTAATAAGTTTTTCTTAGCAGGAACTCAGGAACCAGGTAAGGTGAAGTGTTAAAATAAACATTTATTTGGTATAAAATAATAAAAGCAGAAATGGCTGACACAGCAGCTACCACAATGCGTTTCGACCCTCCAGGGTCTTTTTCAAGTGCAGTATATCCTCCCATTTGCTGACCCACCTATATGTGCCTCCAATTTACCATATTGGAGACAGGTGTAGCAGCAGGAAATGGTAATTGAATGTCCATATTTGGTCATTGCAGGAAGCATCTCACCACCACTAAGATGGTGGTGCTTCCTGTTTTGACATACATAAATAAAGAGAGGAAAAAAAAAAAAACGCTTCCTGTTTTTACATATATAAATAAAGAGAGAATTTTTTTTAAATATATATATATATATATATATATATGCTTTACATATATAAATAAAGAGAGAAAAATAAATAAAAAATAAATAAAAATAAATAAATAAAAAAGCATATATATATTTTTTTAATTTTATTTATTTATTTATTTTCAATTTTTTTTTTCTCTCTTTATTTATATATGTAAAAACAGGAAGCATTTTTTTTTATTTTTTTCCCTCTCTTTATTTATGTATGTCAAAACAGCACTGTGAAGCATGTATTGTTGTTTTTTATGTTACTTATGGTCCCCATCTGACGAGATATCTACTTACAACATTCCCTCACGTATCCCATAAGTGGGGATTATACCACTGTACGCTGTTTATAATAGAGCCAGGTTTTAACTCTCAAAACGTGAGTAGGACCATATAGACCTTTTTTATTGGCTGCTACCTATTTGCGTTTTATTACACTATTAGATTTTCTTTTCTCTTTCATACGGATCCCACGAACCCCTTGATCACACTACTCCATAGACGGCTCTACCTCAGATAGAACTGTGATTGTTCTCTCAACCCAAGGTTTTACTGGATTCTTTTTGGACTGTTCTTCATATATATATATATATATATATATTTGTATTGTTCTCTCTCTGTATTATATATCATTATTTATTTCTATATTACTACTTGCTTATATTTAATTGTACATATTATCTCTGTGGCGCCACCTTTTTCTACTTCCTTATACCTATATACCTATAGGGCCTGTGAGGGAGCCCTATCCCTTAGGTGTGATGCCCTTATTTAGGTTTTTAAGCGCTGCTCCTTCTGTACACATTTTTCACCATTTTCAAGTGGTTTGGCAAAAAACAAGAGTCTTGCAAAGTCCAGCCCTCTGCTGCCACCAAGATAAACAAAAAGATAGATAGATAGATAGATAGATAGAGCTCTGCAAAAGCTGGATAAATCAGCATGAGAGGAGACCTAGTGATTGGCGGAACCCAACTAAGAGGCAAACCGTTATAGTTATCGTGATTATGATGCTTGAAGTATATCTATAAGGATTTGGTGAAGGTTTAGAGCTGCTCAGGGAATCATCCATGCCCGTGGTCCTTTTCTGGACCAAGGAACACTTTGATTATAGAAAAACTTCCAAGGCACGCCTGCTTATGTTGCCTTCATCATTTTATTTTACAGTTTTACTAGTGAGGTATGCAGTATGTATAGTGAATATTTAAAGTTAAATCTGCTAATTTTATTTAATTGACAAATGATAATTACAATTTTAATGTCAATATCTATTACAAATACAAACTTAAGGACTAACGTATTATAGCCGTGAAGTCAATTATTTTGTAACACGTTTTCTAATAACTTGCTGCACACACCGATTCTTAGTGTGTGTACAATAAATGACTGCAGCAGGATCCTGGTAAGATGATGATCTGCACCTACAGCTAAACAAGATACCTGTGCCAATACACACTGTCAAAATGGTATTACACTGTGTACATATAGATAAGTTAATCCTTACTGCACTCATCATCACTTTAATAAATGTGCATCATTGTGTTCTGAAACAAATAAAAGGAAGTATGAAGAAACAGTTGGTGGGTCACTAGTGGAATTTATAGAATTGAAAGAGGGAGTAGTGCCTTGATATCGTTCTTGAGATAGATGCATTCTCAGAAATAGTAGGATATGTGGAGACAGAAGAATGCAGCATAATATAGTCTGGTATATCTCACATAAAATAATGGTATAAGAAATAGAATTACACTTACATTTTAGAGAGTGGTGTAGCTCTATCTCAATTCTCTTGGACGGTACATCCCCACCGAGGGACATTAGGTGTCTTACTCTAGGCAGGGTTTGTACGTCAGAAATGGCAGGGAGCAGCAAGATGGTGGACATACCACTTCCACATGCATCTAAGGTTCTTTAAGGCCTACTGGAGCAGTCCCTGCAACCTGGAGAAGTGACTGAAGGGAGACTGGCAACACAGCAGTCAGAAGGTGAGCATAGCTTCTCTACAACAGCTTGTATCCTTCAACATTTGCCCACATAGGCTGAAGGTCATAAGAAGATTCCCTCTGATAGATCATCCACACGAACAAAAGACTACCCACCACAGGCAGCTATGAAACACCATAAAGGGATGCGAATCCCTTATTTGCAATGGACATTATCTGGCTATTGATTGTGTAATCTATATGCCTAGTTAATTTTATTTGTCTCAGCATTAGCATGATTACAATTATATGACTTGCGTTGTCCACATATGTTTTTCCTTTTTCTTTAACTTAAAATAGTAGCTCAGCATTTTGACATACAAGCTAAGATAACACAATCTTCTTGTTTTCAGCATTATACAAGACAATAGCATAGCACACGTCTATAGTTC